CCTTTTATTTTCTCTTTCTAATTTATGATTCATATGGAGAGAGAGAGAGTCATTTTTCTCTAATACTCACGCTAGGCATCAGTTTGTTTTTCATGCTATTTAAATGATAACCGAAAAAGCTATCTTACAAACTTAATTACTGATTCATGTGTTAGCCTTTGTGGGTCTTTCAGTGAACTAGTCTGATCATGTATCCTAAAAGTAAACTTCAGGCAATAATAATCATTAACATTTTTGTAGTAAATTACGTATGGCTGGGCCAGAAATCTTACTTTCTGTAAAAGGTAGGTCATTGCCATGAAATTAATTACATCAGTACTATTCTGAAAAACATTTAAAAACATTCAATTCTTTGTCTTAATGCCATGATAATTACTTGGCATGTTCCTTTTATTTATTTCTAGTGGTCCTGAAAAAGAAAGCTTAAAGGAACACTTTGGAGGGGTGCAGTAGAATATCCAACTTGCTCATTTCTTTTCTTTCCTCCTCCTTTTTCCTTTATAATCTTATTTTCTAGTAGCAAAGCAAAATGTGAAGAAAGGAAAGACTGAACTATACTCAGTAACAGAGCCTTATTGGATATTCAGGTGCTGATAGGCAAAGCAAAAAGATCTATTGGGCCATGCTGCATTCGGTCTTCAACTCGATCATTTTTTCAGTTGGAATCACTTCAGTAAAACTTACTTTGAAATGAATCAAGATAAAAATCATTTTTCCTCAAAGGAAATGCGTATGCCATGGCTGCAATGATTTTTAGGCAAAGAACATTTCACTGAATATTTTTACTTAAATTTAATTTTGTACATTTAAAAAGGAATGTAAATAGTTGTCCATTTCATAAGGACAGATTCTTGAATCCCTCTTTTTCTTTTATTTTCCTTGAGAGACATTTTGACCTTACTATGAAGTGAATGAAACTAGAGACGACATTGGTAGAACTTTGAATGTCCTTATGCATAGATTTTGATGGGAATGTAGTAAGACAGAAAATAGTACCTTGCCAAGTATTAACTTTAAATCTCCTATTTACTTTAGAATTTCAAGATTTATGAAATATCAGAAAAGTCAGAGATATGACTCATAAGGAACTAGGACTTTCTAGTTTCTTACACTCTTATAAAAAGGTCTTAGCTGTTTAGCTTTGCTGTAAGCATCATGAACAATACTGAATTAACATAAATTAGTCATTTGGTATTTTTGCCTATCACTCTAAATGGTTACAAGCTGGTTATCATATTGAAACTAACTATTTAAAAGCCATGGCATCACTCTTTTAAATTATAAAGGCAATACCTACTTTTACTCAGAGATTATTCAACTGTAGAAATACAAATGCAGTTTTTAAAATAAAGACTTGCTACGGTTTAAGATGAAAATAGGGATCATTTCTTTCATGCTGTATCAGCCTTTTGTCCATTTTATTTATCTTTTGGCATACTTACCAAATATTACTGGTCAAAT